CAAATAAGATAAAATAAAATAAAAATGAAATAAAGAAAGGAAATCTACTTAAAAACACGAAACACGAATTTATATAACCATCAACACTGTTATCAAAGATGAAGTTTTTGCTTTTCGCTCGTATCTTATCCTGCTTTAGTCTAACCACAGGAACCAGAGACCAACGCAACTACGGGTCGCTTTTTTCTGTATATGTAATTGTATTTGCATAGCCAAGATTCCGCGCATACTATCAATGATAACTGTCATGTCTGGCTTTATTTGGCGAGTCGTATGCCAAACACTGGAGACTGCAGCTGTCATAAGCCCAGTGAATTTGGTGACGCAAACTAGGAGGTCCTGTCCAGAATTTGGTCAAGAACTAGTCCTTTAGTACCTTCTATTAGTTTCCTTCTTCAAGTTGACTTCGGGATAGACTTGCTCCCCTGGATTGCCACCATTGAATAAGTTACCATTTATCTTTACAATGAAGATATACTCTGTGTTTTTACTTCATTTAAAGATCATACTGTTGACAAAGGAAAGAATGTACTCCACTTGAAAGTGAAACTTGAGGAACTCCCGAGCCCTCTCGAGCGCTTTTGTCATGCTCGCCAGATGGCATGATAGCGTTGGTTTACTGTTTTTGCCTCCGGAAAAATACCAAGTTCGGAATGCTTTAATATACATTTTATGACTTATTTATACGGCCACAATATTATCTCTACAATCAGATGTATGTCACTGCGAGGAAATTAAAGTTGTTGTAGAGTGAGCATACAGAATGTTTAATCAATAAAGGAATGGACGCAATTCTGACCAAAAACAAGAATGGAAAGGGGTTCATTGAAACAACTATAAACCCCTTACAGACCTATCGCACAAATGTATAACCAGTCTTTTCTTATTTTGTTTTCTCATAGGTTTTATTTTAATTCTGACCGAAGACGAAATAACTAGAGTCATAAGTAGAATGATTCTGTTGGGGCAGTCATGTATCTGAAAAAAATGAGAACTGATGAATATCAGTAGTAGCGAACGATTTTTTTTTCGATTCATAAATAAATCCGCACATGTATTTTGCTTAAAGAACGCCATCTTCCAATATTGTTAAACATCACGTCTATATCGAATAACCTAGTGGAATTGGCAGGTTCGAGGGGTGAACGCTAATTTCGTTGTTGCTTCCTTTATAAACACATATCGTGGTTCATTCATACGACAACAAAAAGAGTCACACTTCCTTTGAAGTGTGTGTTTGTGTCGGTATGGATCGGTCAGTTTTTCTACTCACTGACACCATTGATTTCAAGTGTGAAGTGTCAGAGATTACGGGTTGTTTTTAATCAAGTCGCACTGTGTCTACACACAGGTTACTTCGGCGTCTTTAATTATAGAAGAGACCCCATAATAAAAATGACAAATCACTTTTTAGTCAACAAAATAAAGGTATGGGTTGTCATTTGTGGAGGCAAAACTGAGGAGGAACGCGGCTGACTTTGTCTTTGGTCATGTCACGAAAATAGCAGGACACAAAATGTGCTCACAGAAAACAGAGTAACATAAATAAATGATTTTGACAAATTGTGCAAAGCGAACTTGAAGGAACATTATTTTATAAAACTTGCTACTGATATTAAACGGTTTTTCGTGAGACACTAATAAGTCTAATAAAGCTAAAAATAAAACAGTGCACTAAATAGATGTAACATAACACTCAAACATAACATGCCCCTGATCCCTCAAATCGTACTTAAACCATTCTTCATTTTGAATGGAGACAAAAATAGAAATTGTAATTTTATGCTAAAGAAGAAAATGCACATTATTGAGTAATACCAACTCAGAACACTACGACGTTTCCCACCATAAAGTATGAATGGAAATGTGCCATTAAGAAAAATTCCGGCACGGTTGTCACGGATTTTAGAAAAATATGTGAAGCCCGCTAATACACAATAATATATGCTGCACCTTAACAGCAAGATACTAAACAGCTGAGGGCTAGGAATGCTCCTACTGCTCGTGGTACAGGTAACAGCGCTAACAACACTTAACAACATTAAACAAGAGTCAGGGCGGCAACAACTTAACATCCGCTAGGTTCAAAACGTCACCATGGAAACCAAAGTGACAACATACTCAGCAGACATGGATATTTGGCTGCAGTTTACTATAAACGGGTGGGTAAAACACCCCTTAGAAACACTACCAGTGACACCGGATACACACTCAAGACTTACACATTGAAATAAATATAAACATTTTCCTAAAAAAAACTTCGCAGAAAGACTCGGGATATCGTGCATTTATACAAATGTTAAAACGTAACTTTTTGGCTAGATGCAGACTTGGTTATAATCGATTTTCAACATGTTTATTTAAACTATTGGGAAGACTGGACCCACTGTTTAAAAGTTAAAGACGTAACATGCAACTTTCGCCATAGCACTTTTTTACATTTGACACTTTTAAGTGTGTAAAAACAGTGCCGATAGAAATACACCGTAAAAAGAAAAAAACTTTCATTGAGTGAAATTTTTTAAACAGTTTCAAAAGCATTACACTGGTAGAAGAAGAAACCTTTCATTTTGAATGAAACTTAAGTTATGCCTTTTGCCCTAATACTGTCAGTTTAGAACCGAATCTAGGGTGCAAAGCTTACTACGTAATCAGGTGGCGCTGTTACCTATGATAAGGATTATTAATACAAATGTCAAAGTATCTGAAGAGTTTTATCATCTATGAGTAGAATGATGAACTGGAAGTGTCAGTTTATGTCACAATTCAAATCTTATTAATTAATCTTTAACCGTATCACAATACAAGTAGATGTATATATTGTCACTGTGTTGTCAACGAGTACAAAATTTTGTGGGTGAAGCGATAAGGTGCCCGCTTTCCCTTATCCAGACATTTCACGGGTTTTTGATAAGTTCGGAATTTGTTAAGATTCCACAGTCAGGTGACACAGTCGATTGGAACATGACATTATTAACAAGCGATGTTCTTGTGGCTTCACGCCGGTACGTAAAAGTCAGACATTTAGAACAGCGTCTCCCCATGTCCGATTTGGATATTCCTGCACAAGGAAACAAGGGGAGGATGGTGCATTGTTACGAAAGGTATAAAGCTCATTATCTTACTAGATAACCTATTTCAAGACACCATTTCATTTGTTTATTAATGCAACAGGAAAGATTAAGGTAAATCCCCTTTCGTGTCACGATTTAACAGGTTGATTAAATAAAACAGAACTGACGAAGGACGTGCCATGCAGGAAGAATTTTTTTTTCAAATAACCTTGTTCAGAGAATAATTTCTGGATATCTGGATTTTATGACCGGTTTGTTATCGTACGAATAGTAATGCTAATCGATAAATGGGTTTATATGGTGAAAATCTCGGTGTATGATTTAACCAAATAAGATCAAAGCCCTGCGTATTTCTATGGAAACGCGTCGTTTAATCGTTTAAAGACGAACAGTGATTTTTTTCAATGAAAAAATTCTAACAAATCTCTACCTTTTACTATTTCAAGTTACTTTTTTCTTAGTGCGATACTACTGAAGTACGGTTCAGTTATATATACATATATTTGTGTGGACAATTAAATTGTGTGAATGAATTCTTGACTCGGAACCATGAATTACAGCGCAGGCGCATTTCGGAGCTACTGTTTAGGATTCAAAATTACAATGTAAAAACTGTTCGGTTACATAAGCTGTGAATATTTGAATTTGGCTTGAATTTCAGAGGTGAGTTACCTTATTATCTTTTAAAATTGTTTTAAAGACGTTTTCCCCGAACTTTCAAAAATACAATGATGATGTAAAGATTTCAAACGGTTATCTTTTTCCCTATCACCCACACACAACACGCTGAAATCGGTCGGTCCTGTTTTACGTTTGATTACGAGTCGGAAATTTCCATTAGGCGTTTTATTTATGTTATGATAATGGTAGCAAATGAATAGAACGGCCACCACTAATGAGTGCAGGAATTTCAAATACATAAAGAGATGACGAAATCGAACTTCCGAAGTCAAAACTGTCCGATTACTAAATAGTGTGATTCAGTTGTTTCCTCTTCATTTGAAGCAGACGAACACAAAAAGACCGCCAATCACTTTATAGTGCTGAGATCTGACGGCGCAGCTTCAGGTAGGTAAATAACACACTGTGATTGATAGCTGCATGTCTACAGCTTCCAGTAACGTTAAGTTACCACGACATTTTAAAGGGTGATATGCCATTGTAGTATCTGATGAAACGCCTTGCAAGCATTTCCGAACTACTAAACCTTACCTTTTCATTTTCAATTCTTGGTTAATTATAGTAACAAGTCACATATAACAGGCACGCCGGATATGACAGAAATGCGATCTTCATTGACAGTTTCGTTCTTTAGTGGACGCGCGTGTTTTATGGCCACTACTGGAATGTAAAGTCTATCAAATTGTCGCAAGCATTGGGGGTGGTCTCAGACGCACTCTTAGTCAAGGATGTCTTATATTATTAGCTCTGAATGCATAATGAATTGAGAGAAATATTTTGTCTTAAAGAAACGTGGCCATACCTGTGACTTGTGGTTGCATTAATCGCATTAATTGGTGAAAGAATTAAGGAAGTTAACTTAATTCAGGTGTCAACGCGCCCCCAAACGGTCTGACTGAAGAAAACAGGTGACAACTTAACTTTGTCATTAAATTTGGTCAATATTAACACTTCTTCAAAACGAAAGATTGGAAAACGAAACTGATCGTGCATATATATATGCATTTTAAATCTTCATTTCGGTTTTCGATAAATGTTTAATAACCCTCTGTATTGGACGGGAATACCTGCGTGTCTCAGTAAAATACTGCTGATAAAATGTAATGAACTCTAGGATATCAAGCCTCTTAATTATTTCTTACTTAGCTTTATTTAAACATTACTTTATTCGTATTCGTTTGCCTGTCGTGGCGGATAAGAAGTAGCAGGCAAGACTATCAAAGTTTGGAAAACATTTAAAAGACATTCACGGAAAGTAAATGATAAAATACTTCATACACTGAATGTTTTGAAAACATGCCACAGTTGTACTGCGAGTCCCGGACCCATGGTTTGTTTACTTCCAGTGCATATCAAGCAACGTTCGGTGTGGCAAGGACATGAAAAAAGATTTAATCTAGCGTAATTGATAATTGTATGTCATTTTCTAACGCTTTGTAAGCGTTGCTTCATTATGGCACAGTTGATTTGAGATGCTACTCGTTCTTTCACTTCATAAAGCTGGGATCAGCGACGAGGTGGAGCTCTCAAACCGACAGCAGTGACTCACAAAGAAAGCGGCACCCGGTTTGTAATAGTAGAGTGAACGGGTGACAAATTAGGATAATATTATGTTATTACTACACTTTATTACATATTTAGTTCCTAAATAAGCACAACAAGGTCCAGGTCGCACTATTCGCAAATGCCGAAATTTACAGAAAAGAGTTCAATGTTTAGATTGATAATCAGACAAACTCGACCTGCAGTGCGTTTCTATAGTTCAGGTGAGCACTGTAAACACCCCTGGCAAAGGTTCGGTCACTTGCAACAAACCCCTTCCCCATAGGCCTCCACGTGCAATAACTCGCACATACAACACGCTCCTGCGGAACCCTGCTCTCTGGTTCCACACCTGCATGTCACGTGACTGCCCAAAAATGCCCACCTTTTAGGTAATTGAAACAAGAAACGTCAACAAATTTTCTGCTTTTCCGAGCACGATTAGAGTCCAACAGTCTGATTTGAGCTCGCAGACAGCTGCATAATTTCGTAGATTCACCGGAACGCATTCTTAAACATCGTTGTTATTGAAGTCACAATTATCCGTTTGCTAGCTGATTGTCCCCATTTCATCAAAAGCTTGACTCATTCTATATTTGATTTTCCGTGCGAATTTCTCCATAGATTTAATTTCTTTTTCACCATGGTCAATTGAAATTGTTTCTTTTGGTTTACGTTGTACCTTGCGCCGGTAAAGCACCCAAACTGGCTGTGTCAACAAACCATCAGACACTGATCCCCCGTGGGAAGGCGGCTGACGGCAGGGGCCAATTAAGGCAGTAGCCCCCCGTCCACAAACAGTCTGGGCTCTCATCCCGCGAGGCGCTGCCTGGCACGGGGCATCGATCCCCGGGCCAGATCGATAGACTCGGGGAAAACACAGCGGATCAGTTACACTCCAATAGCTATCCCGTGTTTCTACAGTATATTTAAAAACAATGGTCGACCCCCGGCCAGCCCCATCCATCATCACACCCTCGTTATTAATAGTCGACACGCTTACATTACCCCCATCATTAATTAAAATATGATTATGCAATTGGAAACTCTTTTAAATTTAACGACAAGAGACCCAGGGCCTCTAATATTCCCATCACAATACAGTGCAAGACTGCGACAAATATTTGCGGTCACCGATTTACAGTTTCTCAATTACGGGAAAAAGCCACGTATGATTGACAAGAGAGTGCGAGTTAAAAAGTATAAAGCCCAGACAACGGAGACAGCACTGGTTGCGTCAATAAGCAATTAACGTACGTTGTCGATTTTTTTTCAGATTTCACAAAGGAATGTGCAATGATAAAGTTTTACTTCGAGTCATGGTGATCTTACCACGTGTTTGCGTGTGTGACACTTTTACATCCTGCTTTTTTAAAAGCACCCTCAAATCAGTGGTTCGCAGACGACAGTCGCAGGGTCCTCCTTTATCCAGTCACTATAAGCACCTCAGCGGCTTGGGGTACAAGTCTGACTGAGTGTCGAGATCTTGACAATCAGCGGTTAAAGAATTTTGCGGGTTTCCTGTACTAATCATTGAAGATTCCACTTCTCACACCCACACGTCGCAGAAAAACGCATATAGCTGGATGTCCTTCGTCTGTCAAAACAATTGGCATAACTCATGGATTGTTCTACAGGGACCAAGGGACAGCGTCATGCACTTAAGGTAAGATTGACGATAATATTTCACCTTCATTCTGGCATCAAGTGTGCCTAGTAGTTAATCCCGCTCTGCCAAGAGTGGCGAAGTATTTGAACGAAGATTTTACCACACTTGAAGGGCGACAACAAGAAATCCATTTGCGTAAGCCACGGTTTTACACCGTCAAAAGTAATTACCAATATCTGTCTTTACTGCCCCATATCGAATGATATTAATTTGAATTTGATTGACCCTTAGAGATAGAGCCATGACGAAGTTTCGAACAACTAATCTCTTAACTTCATATGTAGAATCGTAAATAACGCTCTGACGTGACTACTATAAAACCGGGGATAAAACCTCTCCAATGGCGTTACTAGATCAAGTAAAAGACAACGACACTAGCTATCAACCCTGGGTGACCCGTGTTCAACGGCTGATATTTACCATTGGGAGGTTTACATTGCGTACTATATCTTTCTCATTCTAACACGTTGTAACACTTCGGTAATGCGGTAGAGCTTCGACATGATGATCAGTCTTCGTGACAGAAAAGCACATGGGTTGGGACCTAGTGTCGCTTTTGCTAAGTGACAGGGCTAAGTGGAGATAACTTAAAGAGATTTAGCTATCCCCCACCCGGGCTGTCATTTTTTGTTGAAGTTTATGATAGGTTACATAAATACAGTACATACAATTTTTTTCCGGGTAGCAGGTTAGCACGGTCTACCAGGGATGTTCACACTGGAGTAAAGATAAGTTTGAGTGCTGTTAGTGAGGAACTTTTCTTCTTAGATACCGAGATATTGGGGTAAAAATAATTCAAAGTTTAGCCGTTGTTTAGATAAATTGTTATTGTAATTTTGTATTTATTTGTGTTGTCAGGATAATTGTTTGTTCTTCAAATTCTATATTGGTTATATTATTGCCGGTTTTGCTTTTTTCGATTCTACTTTTTTATGTCTTTGTTGAAATTTTTAGTCTGGTAAAAGATCAGCGATGCCATGGTTCGCTCTCACATACATACACAGACACATTCATCACAAATGCAAACGAAATAAAGGTAAAACAACCATTGAATTAAAGTGCTATTAACATTGATCCGAATACGCCTTTGGCTTCTCTAAATTATTTATACCAATAAATCTAAATGTGGCACATTTCCAAACCAAAAACGAAGAAAATAGGTAAAACGTAAATAAAATTAACTCTATATGACAAAGGTAATGGCCTGGATAAAATTGACCGTCTACAGAGTCCTGTAACAGTAACATATTGGTTTATCTGAAAGCTGGATTTTTCCACATTTCGTGTTTATCTTGCTGTTGAGATAAGCCCAAGGGAACGAGTAGTTATGAACAGTTTATGTAATCCTCTACACGTTGACCGAGAGAAAAGGTATAGGTAATAGCAATGTAGGAACAATCAGGCTTAGGCATCACATCGATATGGTCTTCATTATTGTAGACCGAACATGGTATCCGTAAACTTCAGCGAAAACCTTTCACACCGGCCAATGCACACAATTAGCCAAAGCAAGATTAGAAGTTAATTAAATATTTTAATCAGAACTTGAGAAAAACTTTTCCGATACGTCGATAGGTGTTTTCTTCACGAGAGCCCGCCCTTCTAACGATTTTCAATCCCCTTTACAGTGAGACGTGCGATCGCTGGTATTATCGGATACGCACTCGCTATTATACAGTATTGGCGATAGAGCGGTAATTATAAAAGACAAGTGTCTGATTTATGTGGGTACCTATTAGAGTATTCTCAAGACTCCCGTTTGCACACTATAAGAATGAGGAAATGGCCTCGGATATTCGTGGGGGGAAAAATTGCAATGAATTCCTGGAAACATATTTTGTCCAGACAGATTTTGTTAACGCGCAAATGCCTAGAGGAAAGAAATGAACGGTAGTTATGTATAAGTATCAATCATTATAGTATCTAGAGTACAATTACCTCACAGATTCAAGTGACTTTGATAGCCATTGAGGAAGGTTGACATTTACATGTTTCAGAGAGCAAAGGAGCAGTTGTGCGTTTGCGATTGTTTTTTGTAATTTGTTCTCCCTCGAGAGGCGGGGATTTAGTTGAACAGACTTTCCATCCTCCCACCTCATTCTATACATAGCTTACAAGCATGTTAAGTATGTTCGCATTGTGATATTGCAAAAAAGAAGTATTACAAATCGGAAATATTTTTGTTCTTAAGATACACTTAAAATGATGGTTTCGTTATTCAATGTCAGGTTCGTGTTGGCGGCAATCACCGCCCAAAGGTTCATAAGTAAACAACTTTTTTTATTAATCACCAAAACAAAAGATGTTGATTTCTTACTCAGAGTAACCAAAATTGGTATCAGTACACAGACAACATCAATTTCGTGATGAGTAACGTAAAACAGGCTCACATTTAAACATCATTTAATGTCACGTTCTGCATCCTCGCGAGAGACAAGCCTATTTTTGAGGTTAAAATTTCGCCAGTTATTGTGGGCACCAGTGACGTCACAATTCTTTGTTTTCCATGTTGTCACGATATCTGATTGATTTCGGTGTTTTGTCGACGCCTAAGTCCTATATTGCGGTAGGAGATTCACCTCTGTCCTTGGTTCAACTTAAAACTTATTATAGCCACTGTTTACGAGACGCTTTCCTTGTCGTGGTGGTCTAGGTGGAGGTAAAATGAAGAATTCCAATAATTTGAAAAAAATTGAAAATTATAAACTTTAATTTTCCCCCAAAAGAGTTGTTTACTGATTTCGTTGAGTTCGAAATAGGAGGATTCTTTCTCGCATGTGAAATCAAGCGAACAACACTTTGAACAGGAGTCAATAATTCCAAAGCAAAACATTCCGTTAATGTTCGATAAAAACGATAAAAAGGAGAGCCTCATGTTTCCTCGCCGCTCACAACAGTATAAACAGCGGATTCGAGTCACTATCAAAATGCTAGCGTGTAAATTGACTTTCTCTTTCACCTGATAAACTGCACCCAGTAAGAAATTTAAAATTAAAAAGTGAAAAAATCTTTTGAAATCGCACCTTCTTCGCGGTACGTTCTCTTCCTGGCCTCTCGGCAGGGGAGGATGGGTTCGTCTTCTTGCATTCCTCATCCCTTTTACCGGATCGTGTTTTATAATCACCCAGTTGATCCAATCTTGCTATACTAATTTAATTTAGAGTGTGAAATTTATGACTTTTAACCCGTCGAACCGGGGGACAGTTCATTTAGAACTGATAAGTGTGGTGCTCTTGACAGAGAGGAGACAAGCGCGCTGGGAGTGACAAAACCAACGGAGAAGAGTTATCTTTGTGATCGAAGTTTGACAACTGCTCTCTCCGGGTGCCGGGGTGATCAAATATGTAGAGGCATAAGTTCAGGGCGGAAAGCTCAAGCCAAGTGACCGATCAAATCGCATAAATGAAATATGTATATTTTGCTATAAGAAATCCTCGGATGTTTTGACAAAAGTTGTTAGAGATAATGATAAAACAACCTAACAACCTATCCTTTTTTCGATTTTTTTTAAAGTTTATTCATTCACTGTTTGTTCATAGCCGGGTCGCGGTGGTTAAAGAGGCGCCTAGTTCAAGTAGGCGCGAGGGGGTCTGACCTCGACCCAACCTCGTTGACTGATTAGGCAGTTTATTAGCTCACCCCCTTGCCTTGCTTGATGTTTGTTGTCGGAAAATCCCGTTATATCAAACTATGTGATCAGAAGAAAACATCATTAAGAGATGGAGCTGCCACACTGAAAACATCGCCCCTGGGAAAACGGTACAACCGATCTTAAACAAGCAATAAAATGCTGTTTGTTACAAATAAATTAAATCAATCTTATTATTGAAAATCAAACTATCCGAAAAGAGGCGTAGGGTGATCGTCTCCTGGATCTCATAAGGACATATATATATAGTATCCTGAGCCCATAAGACATAAAGCCCTCTCTTTTTAACCCCCGAAGGTAGCGTCGGCACCATGTGCATCTTGAGAGGCGCAGCGTGGGGTAACTCGGATTACCCTTCACCTACCTTATTTCAAACAAAAACAGAGAGCTCTTTACATTGAGTGTAATGTAAGTAAATTTTTATAAAGTTGTTAATTTTGTCAGCCACACTTGCCGGTGATTTACCTATGCGATTAGTGGCGCTGCCCTGTCACAGGAAGGGGGCGACGTGGCACCAAGGCCCACCGTGCCCCGCGAAACACTTTCACCTCTGGAAACGCGCGTCTGGCGGGACATTTACGGTATCTGTGGTCACGCTGAATTTGACAGACGTGCTGCTTTTGAAATTGTCAACAATTATCTATAATTTTCATGAATTTGTCCCCTACTACATAACATTTTCCGTCGCACTTTCAAGTTCGCGAGCATACATTGAATAAATCACAACACGAGATAAGCCTGGGTGAGTAGGCAGACACTTCCTCTTCCCATAGAGGAGAATGATTGATTTTGTGCGCGTGTACAAAAGTATTATAATATGTTCTCCTTGGGAAAATCGTCATAACACTTATATGTGGTCACCGCAAGGGTCAGGTTGACTCAAGTTTCAGCAAACACTTTAAGTATGCCACAAACAAGATTACTAGCTCTTCATCAGCCCAAGTAACAGACCTCTGCCTTTATGCAACCTGAGCCTTCTGTTTGATATTGTGATCGAACAAAAATCGGTAAAAGCCGGGAATTGTCGCCAGTTGACAGCTCGAAGACAACAACATAATCCCCGTAAACCTGCAGGCTTTCACTACCAGCTAAACTCTTCTGGGCAATTTACGAAGAAATTCAGCGGCTTTAGCAGATCAATTGCCTGCTTAAAGCCTTGAAGCCTCGTCCAAGGTGCACTTGAAGAGATTTTGATAAAAAATTGGCGACTATGACCTGACGTTTCTTATCCTTCAAACAGGGATACTTTCCATTTTTTAAATGTCGTTTTATAGGGCTACATATCATTATGTTTTTTTTTAATTTGGATTTTTTTAAAAGAAACAAGAATGGGGAAACCTAGATATTTATTTTCCTTTGGACAGTACTCCATATGTACTTATTGATCAGTGTATAAATCAAGCTATCCTAAGTTTGACTTGGTGAGAAATGGTGCGTAGACCGGGGTCCGAGAAGTCGTGCCCCAGCGCACAGCCTGTTGAACCTTGCTATCAAAATCACCCTCAGAACACACCACCGTTTGCCTTCTGATAGAACCTGTCCACTTGAACGCACAATCGCTCAACCTCGAAATTAACATGAAATTATTAAATGTGTAATAAGCCAAAAGCTGTTCATTTTGGACACGGGTCTTTTACGCCTGGTCAGTTAGTTTGTGATACGGGGTGATCGTTAGATTGCGTTTTATGCTGCACCGCCCTCACCTTTGATTACCGTGCCAAGTTTACGCTTGAAAACACGCTTACGTGATTGTAGGCATCGATGGAACGCTTTGCTGAAGCATATCAAAGCGTTCTGTCGTGTTGATCGAAAACTGTATTATTACATCATCCCTAAGAGACTCTATTTTGCGAATCTCACTAATTGCCTCATCTTGTCTGTTGGAGGCTGTGATGCGCAAAGATGGCACCGTAGAGTGGCTCCATCTCACGGCAAAATTTCCCCATTGCCTCTACGTTCTCCTTATTGATAGACGTTAAAATATATGTTCAATCAAGATCTGACTGCGTAAACATACGTGAGCACTATTTCAAATGGTCATCTCAATATCAATGACTTCCATTCTATACCACATTCCTTCATTCCTCTTCTATTATAATCACTACCAATGCAATAGTCGGCGGGCTGAGAAATGTTCTATCGGATTTTTTTAATGTCATCGAATGTCCGGTAAACAGCTCGTGCCGTTATGAAAGGCAAAAATCGAGGTTGATAAGGTGTCCATCGCTACGACACCAATATAGGAAGGGCATGCATTTTCCTTGGTCATTCTCTCTACTCTTTGACCCTAATCAATATCAGCCGATTACTCTTCTAATTGCTCTCAGCGTCCAACTTTCTGTAAATGATTCGATTTCATCCTAAAGTAAGTCTGTTCGTTCCTTACCTATTCATGTACTGAGTGTTAATTAACTCCACTAATTATTGACATTTTAATTTACTTCAAAAGTTGTTTGTGACGCCCTAAGTGTTACCCTGTGAAATCATCGGATTTCTGGGTGACCAGGCAGACCAGGGTCGTGCTACGAGGGTAAGCGCCTAAGCTTATAGGCAATCATTACGGCTAATGAACTGTTCCCGTCGCGAACAATCGCATCACTGCGCCGATCGAAGTTTAATTAATGCATACATAAACAACTTTAAAATCTGATAATTTTCTAATATCGTTCACACGTCCACAACGCTCCATTTAGCCGATCCATAAAGATTTCGCTGTCATTAATACTACAGCTCATTAACTTAATCAAGTATTTATGAAGTTTAACTTTTAATTTTGGCAAATCGGAAAGAGTTAATTAAAAGTAGTAACAGTAAGAATGCGGCAATTTTTAAGAGGTATGCATTGATTCGTTTTGCCAATAGATAAAAAGACGTATTGGTTGTAGTACACGTCAGAAACTACCATGCTTTCAGACTGTTCGGATCGCTACTGAGTCTATAATGGACTTAAAATGGACAGGTAAGATGTGTGTTATTAATTATTTTATGGTTCAGGGGTGGTCAGTTGATAAACGGTGAAGTAACAAGACAAGAATTTCAAGATATTGACAGCGTGCAGTGATTAGCCAAAAATGCTCTCTGGCGCATTAAGGGATTTTTGACGAGACAGTATAGGGTAGCGCATAAGTAACAAATAGTTTGCTGATTCTGTAAAACAAATTTGCACACTGAGTATAATACAAATTGTAAAGAATAATAAGGTTTAGCCGCGTCATTAAAATAACATCGCAACAAAGAGTACAATCTCAGGGTTGGCAGAAAGAAAATATTTCACAGTGGTTAATGAAAATTCCGCTTCGGGGCAAAACCCAGCGAAATGCTAAAGAAATGCACCTGAAAACTCAGTAATCGCAAATATTTAAAAGAAAAAAAGCATCGAAAGAATGCAGGAGTAAAATCTCAATCGGGTCTTGATACAGAGGGAAGAGCGTCGCTTCGCATGTCATTTATCGCATGCAGGTATAGTCCTCGTGCTGCCTGAGCGCCACATGCTGTTCAGGCACTGTGCGGGTCACACGCAGAGGAAATATACGGCACAGAGACTTTCCTCGACGGAGAATAATTTCATTGAGAAAGAGGATATAGATATCTTGATATCGTCTAAGTGTAGTTTAAGATCGATACGAAGGGCTGAGAGCAGCATTTCCGTAGGGAGCTTACATTGGATGCCTACTACTATGGGTGCGTTGGGCCTCCCCGCCTCTCGCGCCTGGCTCTCCTCGTGATGTCGTACTGGGTCCGTCTTAGAGTATCGGAACAAACAAGGTGGGTTAACCGAAATATGTAGGGGGAAAACCGAGGATGAAGTTTGAAAAGGTTGTAACTTTCCTTTTAGCACTGTATTCATTTTATCGTTGTCCGAGCAGCAACCTTTTTCTTTCCGCATATCCTTTTGTCGTTGAAAAGTGGTGAAACAGGTATAAGCGGCGACATAGTTTAAATAGCTCAAACTTACGGGTCTGTGATACCTGCATGGCTCAACTAGAGAAAAGAACGTGTTGCGTTTCTCAGGTTTCTCACTAGAAAGAAATGAGTTTCGGGATGACTTGGCTGCGGGGACGCTTGGTCAACGGTAGGTGGGAAACAGTTGTTGACGGAGTTTTAGGGGAAATTTGCATAGGCAATCTGGTCAATTTCTCACTCTGGGTGTTAAAGACACACAAACATAGGCAATTTAATTGAGATTGTTAACCCAGGTAAACTGTGAGAAGACCAGGCTGTTGATTCAGTTAGAGTCGGGTCCTTTAACCATCAATCAAGTCTAAACAATGCGTGAGGAACACATCTTGCGCTGACTTAAAACAGGATGACTAACAGTTAAAGCCAGCGGTAAACGTCGAACAAACCTATTAAGACTTAACAAGGCTATTAAGAAAAGAATACACTATTGTTTAATGAAACGACGCTGGGGGTGTGTAAAGAGTTGCTCAGGCCAGGCCCGTGGGATCTCATACTGAGTGTGTTAATGATTGTGTAGAAAAAGTAGCATTTAGGACTGCCCCGCTAATTATGGTTCATCATTCTATTGTGGTTCGGCGAGAAAAGTGGCGCTGAAACCGCTGACCGCATGACATTGGTAGCTGCTGGTCATTTCAGATTATTAGAGCGATTATATTGTCCACTCCACTATCATTCATCAAACTTCACATTCATGTCAACTAGCACTTGGTTGGAGGTCCGAAAGGGACAGTGTTAAGTCCCACCTCCTTCTCTCACGTGGTTGATAGGCAGGCAGGAGAGCTACTCGGTAAAGAGGGCGCTAGAGTCGCGAATGTAAAACGGTAGCTCCTTTTATATATATCAGCGTGTAGAATACACTTGCCTTCATTTCACTCATTCAGGCGAGACTTAACGTATAAGCCAAGACTCGGGGAACGTGTTCTTAAACACTCATTTGGATACTCTGTGAAGGGAAAAAATATAGAATTAACAAGTATAAATTGAAAAAACGAAATCCGCTGTTGGACGAACATCTTTCTTTCGATTAAGGAGTTTATTTTGCGAGTAACGTGTGGAGACACTATTAACACGACTTGGGGCATAGGCTACGTACTTTTATGCACTTAAAGGATAGATAAAAGGAACTGAGTTGGATCGGTGGTTTAAAACGCAGATAGTGAGAAGGAAAAGAACAAAGTATGCTAAGGGACGTCCCGTAGGAAAATTGCATGGCAGTTTTCTCCACCGTGCATTAAATGAATGATGCTTGGCCAGGTAGCCAGACGGTGATGAGCTAGGAAAACAATAATATGGAAACTTGCTTGCTCGAAATTAAAGGACCTACTAAGGAATGAGTTCAGGATTAGATTGCCTGATCAAATATTTAGATACTAGTAGTGAGGTCAGTGGACCAACACATAGAACTCGACCAGGGAGGTAGTGGAAGCGGTGTGGCCCCGGAGAGCAGGTGGCGGTGGGCCACACAATCAGTCCGGGTTGCCGGCCTCTTCATTAAAGTGGGATTTAAAGTTGGAATGGGATGTGGGTGCATGGGATGTATCAACAAAGTGTAAGTAGTGGCTGTCCCATGCTGGTCTTGTTGGGGTGCTCCACAGGAGAAAGTGTATGCGGTTGATATATATATACCGTGCACGTTATTATTACTGCTACATATTACGCAAATCTTTCTATGATCTTGGGGTTTTATAAATACCACACTCCTACATTTTATGTCGAAGAGAAATGCCGATCCGCCAATCTTCATATTAAGAAGGTCATAACAAGATTTTTGTTTCTCTTTACAGGTTGTTTGCACTGTTGGTGCTCTCGCTGCTAGTTAGCACGGTAAGTAAGATTCGCCTTCTCACCTTTGTCAACCGGCACATAACACAGCACACATTATCAGACGACTTGACAAACCCACATTCAGTCTTGTTTATTCAGCCTGCTTCAGACAGCTTTATAAGGATACTGTTGCACTGTTTTGACGATTGCACGATTTGGGTTTATTTTCAAAATAGTCCATTTATTTACTGTTAATTTACAATATTAAATATCAACTCGGGGTCAGCGGTCAGCGGCAACCAAGTCTTTTGTCGTGGAGGTTATGATAATGAAGGGTATGTTTTGCCGCGATATGAAATTCATGATGGCCCAAAGTGTAACTGTAGCTCGGCACGGTGTAAATCATTAGGGGTTGACAAAACTGGTGAGTTTCCTCAAAGGTGTGTTTTCCCTCCTGATAAAGAAGGGGAGAAAGCGGATAGAGTCATCTCTCCGTGACACATCAGAAAGGAGAAATAAATTATTCCTGAGGCGGAAAAACAACTTCAAGGGTGTATTCGGGTAAAACAGTGCAGAAAATCTTTAGGTACCTGTAAGAGGTTTCTGTTTACACCTGAAAGGGGCCGAGTTGACAATATTTTATGACGAGGGTTGCTATACAAGAGGGCTGTCGAGATAGTATCGATCGTCTGTCGGAGCGTTTTTGCACGTCTCCTAAAACGTGTTATTTTGTTTCTCCACAGATCGACGCGAATCCACTGTTGTCACAAAGTCATGTTGACAAGGAATTGGATGATCCAACAGAAACTCGAATGAAACACGAACGACAATACAGACTCTTCAGTAGTTGCAGTAACAAACTAGTACAGATTCAAGGCAGAGGAAAAGGGAGCAACATAGACGCATTAGGAGCTGAGGACAGTATATATGGTAAGTAAGCTTGACATTCTTTTCTGCCGTCTTGTTTGTCGATATCCCGATGGTATGTGACAGGTTTGAATTGGGTGCTAATCAGAGAGGAGAGAAAGGCAGCTTTGACCCCCGTCGACCTTCGCTTTCATAAACCACTATACCTGCCTGAGAAGCGTGCCTCCTCCACATAGCTCAACCCATGTTTCAATGGAAATTTTGACTTATGAAGTGCAAGGCACATCTTCCAGAGACATTGGGATTTTTAAGGTATCTCAAGGCAATTTAATCCGACCCTGACACAAACGCGCAGGAGTGTCATCATTGTTCAACATCTTCATCCGCGTCGGGATGGATTCCGTCCACCCAGTTGAAGCCCAATGGTTGTCTATTGTCGTTGTCGTTGCCGTGTTACATGCCCAACTATTAGGTTACCAAACTCCCCCTCCCAATTTTGGCCGAGAGAAAAAAGCAAATAATTAAACACCACCGATCGAGTTTCAAAGGAAAATAGCAGGTTTCTATCACAGAAGTGACAGCGCTGGGATTAGGAATAAATGAGAGGAGATAGTCGAAAGCTTTGTGTCTCTTTTCAATGACAAGAGTTACAGCATAACTGAATCCGTGGCCCGATAATGACACGGGTACCCTAAACTGCAACCTTACTCTTTTCTTTCTTTCACACGCTGGAATGTCCCATAGAAACCGTGTTTTGGGTATACTTTATCTAAACCACAACAGGCCGATTGATTGAAAAAGTGTTGGAGGTTTTTATTGTGCTGTTGTGTTGTAAGTTATAATGTAGCGTAAAGGGCCACAATTCGCCAGACGGAGAAAGGGTGTAAAAGAGTCAGGCCGCTTTCAAGAAGCACTGTTCTCGGTGTTTAAGTTCACACAAGAAACGATCGACTTCCATGACCCGCTCTTTCTTTCACGAACAAAAACATCAGTCGAACAAGCCCTTGAAGTTTTTTTCTTACAAAACATGGCCTATAGTATGTTGTGGCATAGGTCTGGACTTATCGCCGGTATCAGGGATTTATCTGTATATAATTTGCAGTATGAAGTTTTGAGGAGGTCGCTGTCTTATCACTGCCACCTGCGCGCACAGCAGTGGAAAGCAAGGGGGCATTCCTCTGAGATTCTTACCTATGATTAGCACTCATATGGCCCCTGTGACAATGGGGGAAAAAAGAACGGTGTACCTAATCAACAACAAATATGTAGAACATTTCCTTATCGTGCGCGTGAAATGGAGACCAATAAAAATCGGCCCATCCACTTAACGATATGTCAACGTCGCTCTTCTGGTGTCACGGTTTAGGAAGAGCCGGTTCCCACATGCTTGAATTTCACTGCGACAGTAACGTGGTTCTTCACTGTGTGTCGAGTAAGCTATAAGATTTCCATAATGATGCTATTAGTGGACCGCGAAAGGTATGTTAAGGCGAGACGAGTAATAAATCATCACTTTTGAAGAAAAAAGTGAAAACGACTCGCACACCGCACAAACCTAAGTAAGACCTTGAGCAGATTCATTCACTGGTGGGGGTGGGAAGCTTAATAATGAACAACGGAAAAATTTCCACGTGGACTCAGAATTAATAAGTCGAGTCCCTTCATGGCCCAATTTGACAGATGTCTTGGTTGACAACAGAAATAGCACCTTCTTTTATGGAATGCGAGTCATCAGCAGCGGAACTTCCGACATGAACAGAATGGGACAAATCCGTTGGGGATTGCCATATACAGTATTGCAGAAATGACAAGGGGATAATAGGGGACTTTCTGTGAAAAGACTTCTGTGTCATTTCCAAATACATGGTCCTCGTGGCCCTTAAAATGTAAGGGAATATGCTAGAAGTCATAGAAATGACTAGCCTCCCCGTGTTGTCCACGGATTAGCGGGTTCTCTGTCTCGTTAGTGGTGATTGTTCAAAATTGCTCTCATTAACCCGCAACCCGTGCAACCAGGTGTTGAGAGGTTCTACCAGAAGATGTTCTCGAGTCTGTCACCTAGAATTAACTAATCAAGTGGTCATTTAGAAATCAACGCGTTTCCTGTCCTTTGATTTGTGAAACTGACCCCCCCTCTTACGCAGAGTGACACGTTTCGTGTGATGTTTTATGATGTAATTTTCGACGAAAGTCCCATCCCTTTTCTTTGCTAGTGATGCGGTGACCCCATCATTTTACTGTCTCCAGTTTAAAGTATATGAATTTTAAGTGACTGAAATAAATGTCAAAACTAAATAAAAATGTCAAGGCTGGAAGACTTTGCAGTTGACCTGTGAGCATTTTAAATCGAGTAAATCGTGAAAGATGAAAGCCAGTGCTTGGGCCAGTATTATCGCTACAGGTGGGTACTAGAGGGTAAGGGTGCCCTGGAGAATAAAACAGAATTTGTCACCAACATCAAAAGAAAAACATTCTCAGCAGTGTCTGGCTGTGAGCTCCTTAGGACTCTACCACTTATGTGTATAAAGATATGAGTGAGAACGTTAGCATAGCTCCATCCCACCGGTTCCCTGTTTGTTCCGTATCTATAAATTGTATAACGGGCCATGGAATGGGCATTGTAGACGGGCCGAAGACACTGGAATTAATAAGTGTCATTTCTTGAGGCATATCACTTTTGGAGAATGCCTTGGAATGTCTGATATTACTTTTGAGATGCAATATTTCCCAGTGCTAATCGTCTGCAATTTTCTTGCCAATTTCTCTTAGATCCTCATAGAATCGTCTCGTCTTAGCGGTTATTAGATTCTGATATTATTTGATATCTGTAACTGAGTCTGTCGAGACAGAACTTTGGGAATTTCATGTTCTTTGCCAATGTGATTTATTATACTTAAGTGAGTTATTAAATAGCTTTTTTATTTGATTTGTTTTTCAGCTGACTTAGTAGTCGAGACGCATACATTCGCCGGACGGCTTAAAATTAAGAGCAAAATGACCGGCTACACCCTTTGTTTCAACCGGCGGGGCAGGTTGATAATCAAGGTAAGTCCTCTACACACCAAACCCACGTTTACATCAGTGTTTAAGAGCACAATATACGCTGTGGATACAGCCAGGGGTGTTTTTCATACAGTAAAGGATGGTGTATATATGAAAGGTAGAGTTCAAAGCATTCCTCCACTGGCTTTCCACATATCCAGACAGACACCAAGGCCCCCTCACTGCATACTCTACAGGTCGAGACTGGGTTTGCCTTACAACCTTACTGTTCTATAGAACTGTGCAAGAGTCGATGTTCTCACCTGCCGTGCATACTTGCCCAGCAAACAGGTTGGCATATATGTGAGGCAGCAGGTAAAAAAAATTGTGGGTGCTTGCCAATTTCCCCCAGTGCACTCAGAATCGTCTCTCTGTTTTCTGGCTGATTAAAAAGACTGATTGGAGCGGCGTGGGTGGTCGCCACGCGCTCTTGTCAACATAGGTGCGAATGGTTGTTCTCCCCCGTCCCCAGCAATTTACCGGGAATTGGGTTATCGGACCCGCATTCAGCTAACATGAGGAAGTCAACAAAGAAAACACCCACAATTGTTCCCCGATCGACGTTTTAATCTCTGGTCTCGACGAAATTCCTTTCTATCTTATCTGCGATCAAATCTTGTTCAAGATCACTGGGTTCTTCTGTGTAGGTAAATCCCTTTTCCTTTGTCATATTTTATTGTCCTCGTTGGGTCTTTAATTAAACTCATTCTAAAACCATTATACGCTCATTAGAAAAAGAATGCAATGCAATTATTTCACTTTAACCGTAAGATCAGATAGGATTATTTGGTTGAGATAGGACAGCAGAAATCACTTAGGGTATGTATTAACACGTTGATAACGCGGATTTCGAAAACACCAAATTCATTTTGAAAGCAGTGGAGAGATTAGCGCGCGACACGTGCACCCATCCAGCGGATCTTTTCAAGTAATAATATTGAATCCCTCTTGATACCACTGAGTCAACATATATCCACAGATTGCTGGCCCCCAATTTTATTTACATCTTTTTTAAAATCTCTTAAAGAAAATTGACAAAGCCTGGCATTTCCATATGGACAAGAAGGGTTGACAAGGTCGCGCTTTAGTCCTGTTTTCCCTATCTATACAGTAGAAGCGTTGAAGTAAAGGTCTACCGACGTATTTCTTTATCATTGCGACTTGAGGTAGGATAGTTTTCGGATCGAATTACTTCGTCTGTGTGCCAAGTCAAACGTCAATTCGGACGATCCTGTTTGCTTAACTGAGACCAAAAGTAATGGCTTTTTAAACACCGAGATAATATCAGAGGCTTAATAAAATTGACTGTGGACATTCAATGAACTGAATTTGATCAGAGGTAAGACAGGAATATATACTTTTATCCAAAGCATTTATCTCCGTCAAAAGAGGCAAGACAAATAAGAATGTTGACTTTTCGAAACAAATTGAAAGGCATGGTCCCCTGCTGAAACTCAACAGAGGTCGCAGAGTAGACAGAACAAGATTAAATAGTAGTTGAAAATAACTAATGCAATTTCGGCTGAAGGAGAAGGTAACACACCTGTAATCTACAATGGGTATATATTTAATCCATTTCAATACATATAACCGTGATGACAGCGACGTTCAAATGAAAAGGCATAGAATGGTGGCCTCTCACTGAACGCGACTGGCGGCAACTCGAAACTTTTCTTTCTTGTCGATTTATACGCTTTAATAATGTCGCATGATAAACTTTATCAGGTGTAATGCCATTATAATGACTTCTAGTAAATCTACAGGATCCCATATCAGAAGCTGTCAAAACAAGGCCTTCCTCGTGATTTACAGGCCATAGGACAAACTGATATTAACGACCCTTAGATAGTACTGCTTTGCCTCTGGCCAAAATAGAGTGAATTTAAGTGACGTCAGACCCAGTCTTGGACAGGTCACGTCCAAACGCTTGGATCTATAGCGTAATTAAAATACGGCGGTAACAAGAATTCCGTTACAATAGAGAGTAAATATTAACACGCATTCTGGAAGCCAATCGCCAACACTTCAACTGTAATGAGTTTGTTGACAATTATAATCAGTGATAATTAGTGTTTGATTGATTATAACAGTAATGGCAAAGCCAGTTCAACATGTCTTGGAATGCACACAACAAGGTGTGGGGAGGGGGTTTGCTGTTTCAACAAAGTTAATCAAAGAAAAGTCGAGATGAAAGTCTTTGGGTTTGTTTAGTGAGGGTTGTTATAGATTAGAAATATAACTTCACAGGAAACCTGCAATAATCTGTCCAACAAAAGAGTAAAGCCTGTATATGTCAGGAAGGAAGGAGGGGTTTCTGCATTTCCCTCTCCCCTCTCAATTTCAGCATAATTTATCGAGACCATTGCTAAATTTGCACCTTAGTGACTGATAGCGTTATAAACAGCAGGGTTTCAGATATCGAAAAAGGTAGTCATTAGATCTGAACCCGTATCTTTTTCTTCCAAAAGCGTCTAGACAGAACGTGCACCATCATGTGATACTGCGATGGCAGCGTAAACGTCTTCAACTCGTCAAAACGCTGTGGCGCCTCTTCGCCATATTTGTATTGTCCCAGCTCCCTGTAAGGCAGAAAAACTATGACAATATAGAGAATATTAATCAAACTATGAGGTGGGCTTCACGCCTGTCAGGTCACTTCTCATGTTTGAACATCACAATTTCAAGTTTTTTTTTCTTAATGGAGGAAAAGATACATAATGTTTATACAAACAACTAAATAATCACCACATTGGTCCCGCTAGTCTCGTGTCGGGATGTGCCCCCTACCTTAAAAAAGCTACTTTAATCGGCCCTTTCAGAAAGAACAAGAATGCAGAGAAAATGTAGCAAGGACTGCCGTCAAAGGGTCGGAATAACAGGGGCGGTGATCCGCGCCTGAACAAGTTGCTGACGCTGGTTGCGGAATACACTAAACGGTATTAAAGACAAGTGCTGCAGTTGACGCAAATTGCATATTTGCTGCTACTACCGACGCATATCGAATGCCAAATTCGATTTATTTATCTTGTCGGGATTGCTTTTCTATCAGGCTAACACGAGGGAATATGCTGCATGTAAAAATGTATAAAAAAGTCGCTGAGGACCTGAACAACTCACACATGTCTTATTTACCTGCACAGATAAATGACTTTCGTAAGCCGTCTTGTCATTAAACATTCTGATCATCAACAATAAATAATTTTGAATCCCAGCGAGCGCGGTATCTTGAGATAGTACCTGCCAGAGATTGACGCGGCCACCATAGAAAACAAGACCTCTTCTAGGTTCGCATGTTCTTTGGGGGGTAAGAGATGGCTATGTTTGGCTGCTTAATTGGATGTTTATCTGTTTGTTGTGGCACTTTTGATCAAACTTCCCCTTTGAGGGCGACAAGATGAAAGTATTTGTTTGAGCTGATTCAAAGTAGCCATTTCTTTGTCTGATCTTCAAGTCCTCGACCCGCGCCAGAGGTTGGTCTGGTCATGTCCACGTGGAGACGCGATCTAGCGGTCAAGTTCAATTTAGAAGCACCTTTAATGTACTTTTAATTGAATTGTAGTTAAATTACAATTAGGGATAATGTCCTTTTAATTAAATTGTCAGTTCTAATAGGCAGGTTGTGCAAACAACTCAAGTCAGTTAATCAGTACAGAGAAGTCGATTATCCTCGCTAGTGCATGCCAAATATTTTATAACCGCCTCTTTCCACCCCTCATTTTCTGCCACACCTGCTCCTGAGGCCTAGGTTAACACGTCTGGGTGGCCCCTGAATGACCAGATCTTCCATTTTACCTAAAAAAAAGTCGGCGAATAGCCGTTTCCCTCCGCCAGTCCGTGAAAAAAGGACCTATTTGATTTATGAAGGACCTGGCAGTGAAGTGTCACCGCCTATTCAACCTGGTCTTGGCCGGTGGACTTGGGGCTTTTGACTTCCGAGTGCAACCAAACCACCTCCGTTATTTCGTGTCCGACTTGACACTTTTGATAATTGCCCCATCACTGAGCGTAGACGTAGGGTAGGATTATAAATTACACCAGGTAGTATTAAGGGTAATGTGAGCCGGTTATACGCAGAAATAGGTGCCAAGTCGTCTGTAGGGAAACACGAAGCAAATAGTACACCTTGTCCTTTCATCAGCCAAAAGACTGAAGCTTAGGAGAGGTTACAGAGTCATCATCAGTTATTTTGATGGGGGACAGGTTTAAAACTGAGAATTTTTTTTGATTTTTTTTTCATTGTATATCCATCCAATACTGTTGAAAAAGTCAAAAATAAAAACGTGTGAAATATTGGACAGCTCACACTTTGCAAGTCTTACATGATTACGCCGAAATCAAATATTACAGACTATCGATTGCTTGGTGTCAATTCCTCATCTAAGTGTAATTAAATTTGAATGGGGCGGCTATTGATCCACAATAATTTGATCTGCTCGTTTTGCAGGGATGATTATATTTCTAGAACCAAGTGCAGCATTGTAATAATAATTTAAACTAAATTTTCTTTTTTATTTCTTGCAGTCAAATGATGACGGCGACAGATGCGTTTTCACCGAGATCCTGACGCCAGATGGGTTTTCAGAATTTCAGTCGGTGGCCAACAAAAAATGGTATCTGGGATTCAATAAAAGAGGGAAGGTAATGAAAGGCTACAAGGCTGGATCGAAAAAAAGAAAGTGCGCCAAATTTACAAAAGACGTGGACTATACTGTAGCCCTAAGGAAAACGGACAAGACATTTAATACATGGAGCCCTAACATGGATGGTCCTATCGCAGAGTTAGAAAAGAGACCAAGACTCAGACACCAAAAGTCTAAAAATGCGAAAGCGAACACACCAAGGAGTCCGCTCTTGTGGCACTTGATCCGCCCCGAGAACACGTGACCTTCCCGTCCATGCAATGCCCCCCAGGTGCTTGTCTTCATCCCCGGCATTGAGAGCGGCCGGCCCTTGCTGGTGCGGGCCCCGGGTCAGTGTGCAATCAAAGCAGTAGCAGCAATGGCAGCGCCTTCATGGCACCTATTATGGTACCCTCTTTTGACGGGGGAACCTTGCTTGCCCGCTATCTGCAAACAGTTGGTGTCAAATCGTCTTACCTTGGTGTCCGCCGGTGCATCACCACCACCACCACGTACGTCGCCATGACAACATCGTCAGTTACTAAGACAGCGCGCGGGTTGGTTGACTGCCCCGTGGTCACCAACGACGCTGTGGTCAGTCCAATGGATTAACGTGCTTCCTCGTCGCCTAGTCGTTCCTGGCTTTCAGAGGGCTTTAACGGCCAGTGGCATGAGAACTAGAGAGAATATGGCGTAAAGACGAATGCAGAATTCGTCGACCTGTTGGTCTTCTGAGAGATCTGTTCAAAGAGACTCAGGTCCTTCAACTACACACGCTTAGACAGACTCCTTAAAGAACTACATAAGTGTTCCGTTGGAGATATTGTGATATTTGTCAGACAACACATTTGTGTTCCGTGCATTCATTTCCATTATTCGCTGTTGCATTTATTTATTTAAACCCCAAAGACAAATCTCTAACTCTGTGAAGAGTAATCATTTGTGTACGAGAGAATGTAGTGGTCGTTATCCTTAGAGGAGTATTAGGTGCTTTCAGTGTTTCCATGGCAGCAAGCAAGTCTGCTCTCTGCAAACTAGAGAATGAATATTAATATCAATGTTATCAGTGTCATGTTAATTTTAAGTTTTAAGATATATAAGATAAGTCGTTGTCAGATGGAGGAGAAAGGGAACAAAACTAAGAGAAAGGAGGCGAAAATTGTGAGCACACAAAGACATTTAGTTTGCCAATGCCCGGAGGAATCACCCGGGTCAAATTATCTCTGTGAAAAACCACAATTTACCGTCACAGTGGCCCACTCTACAAATCCCAAATCTCAGTCCCTACAGCCTTATCAAGTCGGGGTTGCTCGGGTCACCCCTTGTCTTACCCCCACCGCACACCAAATCAGACCAAAACTCTTGTACTGTGATAACCTAACCTCCTACCTGCGTTGTCAGCCTCCGATCTATGACGTGCAATATTGATATACCTTTGGCTTCAAAATATCTCTCAGCCCTCTCTCACCCCCAGCAAACTGTCGGTCAACCTGTTCAGTGGCACGGTCTGACTACTTCAAAACAATTAACATTGAGAACTTTATCGCTAAAGACCTCTTCATGAAATAGCATCTCTCATTGTAGAACCTCACGACGTATGTATCATTTAATCAATGCAAAGGGAAAGCTACCCACTTTCACCCCCAGAGATTGTGCAAAGTACCGATATCAGTATGTACCAAGTGCTCGCAATTTTCAGTCACTTTTTAGACAAAGAATTCACTGCCAGCTTGTTATAAGTGAGCTTAGTTCAGCACACTTTGATGAGATTGACTGAATGAAGTATTAGTAGAATATTACATGTGCGGCAACAAACAAGACAGGGTTTTAGACAGTACATGTACGTGTAGGCCAGACTCCCTTTGTTCCAACCGACGGAACTGCACAAATACGCATGTGCAGTGACATGTAATGTGTATTTTTTCAACTCCACATTTCGCAAGAAAAAATGTTGATGGAAATAACTTTTTTTATTAATAATACAAACTCGTCATTAGCTTCTATTTATTTCGATCTCATTTATTGTACTTGTATATACGGTTGTAAATACTGTTCATTAAACCAAAGAATATATTTATTTAATAAAACAGTCAAAGTACTATGAAACTCTATGTCTGAGCGTTTGCGTTTGATAATTAAAAGCACTTCACACTTGGGTATCACATCGCCTTGGATAATGATAAGTGAGGAATTCTTCTTCACGGGGCTTGTTACTCCACACAAATTTCCCACCGCGGTCGGCACTAGAAGACATGTCACCTTCACCGTTAACATTGGCCCCACGGGCTTCTCCTATCGACCGTTAATCCATCCGCTACGTCTATTACACTTGTAAATCACTTCAAATAGATAGATTAAGCAAAGGAGAGAAGCAAGAGAAAAATATCGGGAAATGTTTTGGGGTCTGAGTGCAGGGAAGCAATCACGCTACAGATAGCGCGAGCTAGTTTCTCTCTGGGGGGTCTGCTTGTTGACCAAACCATGTCTAGCGGTATCAACAGTAAACATTATTTGGAATTGAGGAAAGAGAATAAACTTTATCATATATCATATTTTTGTGCTCACTGGAGTCGCTGCGCGTTAAAAAAGAAGATAATCCATTCAAGTGTATATAAGTCACGTATTATTGGTTTACCTTTCTCTTCAAGGACACACAAACTTTGTTTTTATATTCCAATTTGATCGAGATGAAACCGATACACAACAGCTTTAAAGTTCAAAGTTTATATAATGGCATTCCAGCACAGTGTTTTCACGCACTAGAGAGATGTAGTACATGCTTAGATGTCTTCACATAACAGACGGGACAATTAGTGCCGCCTCATCACCACCTTTACTAAATCACGCATTACAATAAATGATGCAAATACATAAGTTAACCCTGGATGCAAATTACGATCCTGAAGTTATCTGTCAGTGATATACTGAAATAGAATAGGGCTTTGAACCAGAGGCTGTTTTCAGTACACAGGAAAAAAACACCCCGCCCACCGGCAGAGATTACATTATCGGTCATCTTATTGATGATTATTGGCTATTCAAATCATGATCAAATAGATCATTTAGATCGAACAATGACAACTTAACTCGGGGCTGACATAAAACTCGCCTATCAACAGTCACCGATCCGATAACTTCGCACATAAAAAGGAAAGCAGAAAGTTCCGCTGTGATACGAACAAGCTGCACACTCCAACATCAAAGAAAAGGTGATCCGCAAATATACGTCTTTGTCGCTTCATAGCATGCAAAAGGTTAAGCTACCCTGCTAGCGGCGGTGAATCTGCCACTACCTCCGACTGTCACGAAGGCAATGGATCCACCACGCCAGCAGGGTGAGGGCGATATTAACGCGTTCTATCTGGCAAGCGCTGGACGGTCGTCTGCGCCTTCACGAAAACCTGGTGTCGTCGGGACAGCGTGGCCACTGCCTTAAGGGGGGGCCGTCAACTTTGATGCGAGTTCATCACCCAAACCACATAAAACAACCCAGCATAGCTGGAGAGGAAAGAAAACAACATCATTTGTAGTAGTCTGGCTATGTTTACTCCACACCATGTCTCTCTCTTTTTTTTTCACGATGTTGGGCTTATTCCCAGCGCCAAATATTTGCGCTGAGTTCACAAATCCGTTGACATGTCAATTTAAATAATTAAGTCGTTTATTTAGATGGAGATGTATAAGAAAGATAAAAGAAAAACTGTGAAAAGTATGAAAAATCCCACTTTAACTGTTATAAGAATTTGATTAATAACGCAACCGGTGATTTTCGCGGTAGGATGTAATTAGCGTAAGCCCGTAATGGCCGTTACCTGCAAGAGCTCAACTTGTTCGGGCAGTGAATTAGCAAGGGGAGGTTGATGAAGGTTTTACAGCGACGCAGGGGGTTATCTTTGACTGGAATATTTGGTGATCGGATTTATGACACTTCGGGAGGCACTTTTGCAACATTTGTTTCACGCGGATTTCAAACTTGTTACCTGCGACTTTGTGTTAATTCGTTAATTCAAAGGGCTCTTCATCACGTCCTCAAGTGGGTTTAACGCGGACTTAACTCTCACAAGAGAGGATTTGGAGGTTTTATCTTTTTCAAACCATATTCCCTACAATCAAAACTCAATTGTTGTATATAGGCAGATTGTCTAGGATCCACGAAGATTATCCGCGCGGTACCCTACCTTTCCATCCATTCTTGCCAGCATAATACAGCCCTTAGCTTACACCCTAATATAAAGGCGGGAACAAGGGCGTGCGTCAGCTCCCTTATATGAAAATCCTCATCGCAAAATGAACAAAAGGCAACGAAGAATGCAAATAAATAAATAAAGATGCAAACTCATCAAAAAGCACTGATATACTAACAAGTGAAGTTGAAAATCGATTGAGAATAAATTCATAAACCGACTTCCTCAAGGCTACTAATAATTTTTCATTTTGCAGTATTCAACTTGAAGGGTTCTTGAAGACCCTCCCGGAGAGCGGCCTCCCAGTGGCAGGAGAGAAAGAACGCTACACACGACGCCGATAAAATCGCTTTAATATTCATTGTTCAGTTTCATTTCATTGGACGCGTTCCGTAGTTTCACACATAATTTCAGTCGTAAATTCTCCCCCGAAGCGTTGCAGTTCCCTACTCTGTCGTGCGCCCTCCCGACCGAGTCGTCGGGGTCTACGGGTTCACCTCGCGCACAGAGGACAAAGTGGAGGGAGACCGCAGCCGACAACAACCACAATGTTAGATTATTCATTAAAAAAAGAAGTGCTCCTTAAATCAGTTTTGTGGTGGAAGAACGTTTCTGCTTAGTCGACTGTGACATGTGACAAGGTTCTTTAGCTTCCTCTCACTTAAACGTTGTTAACGGCGTCTTTCTTCTACTTCTCTAACAAGCTTTCAAACCACCACCTACTACTATCATTATTGGTGTTAATGGTTAACTGATTTTTTATCAAAACATTATTTAAATCAAGGGTTGAAAGAATCGTAGATTATGGGCGTGGAAAAAAAGGTGTCGCACGCTTGGCTGGCTGTGACGTTGGGGGAATGTCTTTCCCTGTGAACCAGTCATGTGTGTGAGAGAGAAGATAAACACGAGTGGGACATACACAACAACAGCCACTCAGCCCAGCCTTCACGCGGCTCCTAGCTCATATGTGAAGTCTTACACCGGGAAATAATAGGAAGATCTACGGGGAAATAGTTCTAATTCGTTATGTTTGATTGACTTTACCGGGATTATCCCGGCCTCGTTAAGAACCATTTCCTCCTGATGTTGCCTCATCTGTTGACGAAGAGTGTTTGGATTAAATGAAGGGTATTGTTCTGTTCGGGCGTACTTCGTGCTTCGGTTGGAAGTGAGGGTCTTTACCTGGGCCGGTAACAATCCCCCCTCTTTACACCAAACACGTAGATTGAACAGGTGTCCCAAACAGAACGCTGTTATGAAACATTGTCTTCGCGCGCACAGGTAACAGGCAGGTGTACGCCTCACCTGCATGAGAGAGCGGCAGGCGATCGGAAAAGAAAGAATTCAATCAAATATGTACGTCATTTCGAAATATTTCCTTCACAGAGAGATCAAACATGAAAGTTGCAACACGATATCGATCGATACAATCTTCTGCAAATCGAATATAATTTTCAATCGTCCAAATATTTTTTCCATCATTACAAATATAGCCAATTGCATTTTTTTACTTCCGCATGTGATCAATCAAAACATGAGTGGTGCGTGGTAGCAAGATAGTAAACACTTCCTGGATCATATCTCAAAACCCACTGAAAGGAACATAGCACGCACAAGTGAGAGAAACAAATCCAAAATTTAGAATTTACACATTTCACATCTAATTTATTTAAAATTGAAAATAAGACGCACATTGCTTTTGACACAAAATGAATAAGGAAATAAAATAAGAATTGAAAGAAAAAAGTATTTTCATAGATAAAGCACTGATCTCTTAGAAAATGACTATTGCTAATCAGATAGGGTGTGTATCGTGCTTGATTAGAAAGACGTTTCGTGGCGTCTCACTTCGGGTGCAGCATGTCCGTTCCACGTGATTGCTTGGCTTACATTTACCTCTATAAAGGTCGGGGTTTGAAAATCTCCGGCGACCTTACACTGACAATGACTATGTACGGTCTATCTTCTTCACATTGTCCCATTCCCAACACGTGAAACTCTAGCCGTGTCATGGAATGGTGGGTTGTCTAAGTAAAGGACAAACAAGGCCCTGTCACATTGACTATTTAGTTCTACCTTTCATTTGAGGACAGTTCCATTTCATTAGATTTCAATTTATTTAATCCCGTTTGTTAAACTTTCCACATATTTTGGAATTTTAATTAAAGTAGTGCCAATAATGTCCCTGCTTGTTGTATTCCAATCCGGTGATTTCAATTACAATTAATCAGATCTTTAGTGGTGAGATTTAGCCTAGGTGGTGTTACCTCGGTTTATTCTTTTCTTTTTCGCTTTAGTAGGAGGCGGATTTCCACGCCTGTGTAAGTAGTCGCGGCTGCAAGGCGAAACCAAAATCGTATCGAGTTTAATCAGTATAGAAACCCGCATTATTAACGGCGACTAACCACGATCAGTGCAAACATTTCAACCTTTAATAATTTTCAAAATGTTTGTCAGAAAAAGTTAACTTTCTGATTTTATTGCCTGTCTAATCCCCAAGCCAAACATCATTTCTTTGTTGGTTTTGTGGCTGCTCTGTTGATGTAGTGCCGATGCTGTGTCTCATATATGTTATTGTTGTCCTCTTCGTTATAATGACTGCCATACCCCGCGGTCTCACCACACAACCCGGAGTCCAGGGGTTCAGAATATCACAGCTAGCCCGGGCCAGCCAGAGCAGGCGGGGTCAGACTCCAAGAAATACAAATGTCTGTCTACTGGTACCTTGCAGAATAAATTCCTGTACGTATCTTTGCGTTCTCGGCGCATCTTTACGCATAAGGCATTGTGGCGTACAGTACGTCTCTGTCGTCCTGGCGTACTAGCCAATGTATCCAGGCATAAACTACACTGTTCACGATATATCCGTTATTTTGCAGAGATCCCACAGCCGCCTCCACATATTAGCCAATTCTGCTGTGCACATT